CAAACCCCTTCCCATTTTAGCACTGAAGATGTTACCTAGCCGGGTAACGAGACATTTGCAAGAAAAGAACCAAGCTCAGAGAACCCCACGGACTCCACAGTTCAACCCTGAGCTACACATGTTTGTTTCTACTGACATGAATCTTGTTCGATGTAGAAAAAGCTCCTGATGAAGAATATGCTGCATTAAATGTTTAAGAATCTAACAGTACAAAGAACAAGCTTGAAAGAAAATTTTCAACAGTCAAACTGATGGTAATCAACAAGATGGAGGATATACAAGCCACTTTAAAACTGAGATTATGAATATTGCAAAGAGTGCTCAAGGCATGCACAACAAACCCCAGAGTTAAAAGAAAAACAAGAAAAACTGACCAAAGAGTTATATCATTTCAATAGCCTGCTTTTTTTCTTAAAATGTTTTTCTCTTTCACATTTAGAACTGGATAGAAAGTAGACATTTTCAGTTTAGTTTAGTTGCTTTTTGTTTTCTTTTAATGGTGTATTTCCTGTTTCCTTTTCCAGTTTTTTTGTCATTTTTTCCTTAATAACATCAACAGTGACTTCAAAGCTTCATAAAGCTATAAAGGAACGCTGTAGTTCTCCTGAGGGGGCTGGGAGTGGCTGGCGCTGCATCTCTCCCCTCTCAGGACGAAACAGGCCTGGGTCTCCCTGCATCGTGAAATGCAGCATTGAAAAGACGAGGACACCCCTGCCGCGCCCCTTCTCACAGCCTCTCGGGGCCAGAGAAGGAGCTGGTGGGCCACCCGGCCGGGGTTCCCGCCCGCAGCCCCAGCACCCTCCCAGCAGTCCCGAGCTGAGCAGAGCCGGGGCCGGACTCTGGCAAGGCCAAGACTCACCTTCCGCTGGAGAGTCCGGGACCAGTGCCACAGGGCCCACACGGTCTGCTGCCGCTCCCGCCGCCTGCCCGCCAGCTGTAAGCACAGAAAGAGGGTGGGCTGAGCCACCATGTCGACGGCAGCATCCGCAGAAGAAGCCCTGCGGTTTGCCGTGAGACTGGACGAGGCTGCTCTTCCTCCGCTGAGCGAGCAAAGGGTGAAGGCGCCCTCTCTTCCCAGGGAGCCGCCAGGCCCAGCCAGCCTGGCCATCTTCCTGCCCGGCTTGGCAGGCGCACGAGGGGCCAGGTGCCAGGAGGGGGGGCCAGGTGCCAGGAGGGGGGGCCACGTGCCCGGCCTCACCTGCACCTTCCAGGAGGAAAAGGCAGAGGAGCAGCGTCTCCAGGCCAACAGCCGCTCCCCTTGTCTCTGCAGCAGCTGTGGGGGGAAAGCGCAACCTGAGGCCCCCTTCCCACCTGGTAGGGGGAAGTGTTTCTGCCTGGCCGCAGCTGCTTTTCCCAAAGCAGGCAGTAACCCCAGCGCCATTCCCTCACAGCATCCCCCAGAGGGCACCCTGCTTTGGGGGGGTCCAACCGATGGTAGCACCACCCTTGCCCGGGGACGGCCTCTCAATGATGCTCCCACCCCCCCAGCAGATGTGCTCACCGTGACCCTTATGGAGCAGAGGTGATACCGCCTCCACCTCTCCAGGCCCCAGCCAAGCAGCTGCCTCCTGCGGTGCTGGGCTGCCGCGGCAAGCAGCCCCCTCTGCTGAGAAGAGCCGGCAGCGGCCTCCTTCCAGCGGAGAAACAGCCCCCGCAGCCTCACTGCCGGAGGGAAGACAACTCAGCCGCCACCGCCACCGCCACCGCCGCCCCTCCTTGCCCCACGGCTGGGAAGCCTCTCCAGACACAGCGGGGCCACCCCATGACGGGCAGTTCCAGGACCCTGCCCTGTGCCCGACTGGTGGTGCCCCACAGCTCCTCCACCAGCTTAGATTTGAGGAAAAGGGAGAGCAAGTGTGGCTGGGGGGCCAGTTTGGGGACGGCCCAACTGTCTTGCTCACAGAGCAGCCCAACCAGCTGCGACGGGCTTGGAAAGGGTGCGACTTCTCGGGCCTGAGCATCAGGCTGCTCTTTTAGCAACTTGGGTGAACTCGACCAACATGTTAGGCAGAATAGGGTTTACTCCTTGGGTGCCTCGTGCTGTGCGAATGCAACAACCGTGCTTTCTTAATCCAGACACAGCCCCAAACTCCAGGTGAACTGAAGAAGCGACTCCCATTTTGCCAAAGGGTTAGCAGGGGCTCAGGCAGCCCTGCCCTCAGCCACCACATCTTGTCTGCCCCCCAACAGGGAAAATCTGTGCCTGTCACTGTGCCCGTCGCTGGATGGGAAGAGGCAGTCACTGGCATCCCCTCTACTGCTGGCACGTGGGACAGAAGGCACGGCCGCCAGAAAGGCTCCAAGGCTGAAACGCTGCAGCCCTGTGACGGTACCCAGGAGGACCCTCCTCTCACCTGCCTGCAAGCGCCTCCTGGCATCCTTCTCGGCCACTGCTGCCCTTTCTCGGTTATCGGCACGCACCGCGGCCGCCTCTCTCCACTGGAGCAACGCCTGTCCAAGAAAACGGGGGCCTTGAGTGCTTCCAGGACTCCTGCTTGTCTAGGGGGAAGGAGGCACCTGCAGACCCCGCAGCTGCCACTCACTAAGTCTGCCTTGCTCTGGACTTCCCAAAACCCACCCAAGGCAGGCAGCAAGGGCTCCTCGGCTTTGGTCCTGCCGTTTAATGCTCGGCCTCCAGCTGAGCTTTTGGACCCCCCTCGCCCACAGTTACCTTGGAGAGAACGACTCTTCTGAAATGATGCCCAGCCAGGGCAGCTCCCTTGGCCTCCCGCCTGAGATCGGCAGCGTTTTCCTTCCAGGAACGCAGCACCTGCCTGGGAACCAGAGAGGAAGCTCGAGGCGCCGGCAGGGCTCGCCCAGCAGCCTGCCTGTTCAAGGGGCACGGCCGGGAGACGAAGGGGGATCACCCAGCCCTGAGACTAAGGGCAGGGCAGGTCTTTACCGCAGCAGCTCCTGGCGATGGCCTCTCTCCTTCTCGGCCACTTGCTGAAAGACATGCCGAGTGTTATTCTGGTAAGCCTGGAAAGAGAGAAGAACCAACCTTCATGTCCACATAAACTTTCCCCAAGAAGCTTCTTCTCTGCATGGAAAAGGGCTCGTATGTACACACCAGACTTGTACACACTTTTCTGTGTGGCAGCTAACCCCATTCCTGCTTGAGGACATAACTGAGCACCAAAAACAGCCAAACGTCACTCTTGTTGGTCCAAGTAAAATGGCACAAGAGCATACAAGCTTTCATGTTCTCCAGAATTCATCAAAATAGTATAGCAGCCATAAGATGAAAAACCACGTGACTGCACTGCTTAATGACGGCAGTTCCAGCAGCCCCAGTTGCTGTCGTTAAGCAAGGACCTCATGTGATCATGACTTCCAACTTCCTGCTGGGTTCCCCATTGACTGTGCTTTGTGGGGGGCTGGTAGGGAAGGTCACAAAAGGCAGTCACACGACCATGGGATGCTGCAACAGCCGTAAGTACGAGGCCTGGTTGTAAGTACCACTTGTTCAGCACCATCATAAGTTTGAATGGTTGCTGAACAAGTGGTCGTTAAATGAGGACCACCTGTAAACCCCACTTCATTGTTTAATTAAAACCTTCACCCACTTTCCTTTTTTTGTTTTAACTAACTGCATCAACGATCCTTTTTATTCTGCCATTTCTCTTGCTGCCTCACACCTCTTTTCCTAAGCTTCCTTCGGCTGACGTGATTTCCAAGCACCTTAGATGGCACTCAGCCTTCCCAGCCTCCAAAGCAGGGCTTACAGAGACAGGACACTGCCCGCATTCTCTGAACACAACTGGCACAATGAAACAAACCGAAATCATCAGTGAGAAAAAGTCTCTCGGTTCAACTGCAGCCAGCAGATGCTCTGGTCATCCCTACCTTCCAAGCTGCCATGATCCTGCCCAGCAAGGTCTGCTGGTAGTGCCCCTCGGCTCTTGCCATCTTCTTCCACTTCTCAGACTTCTGCGTCAGGTACTGGAAGGAAAAAGGACCGTGGAGCAGGACTTGTGGAGACAGTTCAGAAATCAGAAAAAATGCACACACACCCCCAACTTTCTGCAAAGTAGCCATTAGCGGGCCAAAAACAGAGTCAGACTTTTTCCGATGGAAGGTGCACAAAGACAAGTCTCTGGCATAGAAACCTTCGGCCACCATCAGTTACTCTCCTGGGGCTCATCTTTCGAATGGGGGGGGAAGTATGAGCTAGGAGCCCCCCACTCCTGGAATGCGTCTCTTTCCAGACTCAAATGCTCCAGGCCCAAAGAGAAGCATTGGGCAATGGCAGAAGGGTGGCGCAGGAACAGAGCTCCTTTGAGATAAACGGCCCAGAGTTTCCCGCAATGAATTGTGCAGGCTTAACCACACAGTTTTACAAGCTGTGGCAACGTCTTGGGAGTGCAACGCCAGTTAGAAAGAGAGAAACATAAAATGCCCTGACCTGCCAGAGACTGGGAACAGGAGCAATAAAAAAAGGGCCATTTCAACCAACGTTTCTGTTGCGGGGGGTCTGGCGTAGCTTCCCCTGGAGCTTCTCCCCCCATTACAGGCAGCAGCAGGAGAGGCATCCAAGTAAAGGGGTCTCCAGGGTGTGTCCACAAGATGGGGTCAAACAAGTCAAGATGGCAGCCGCAACAGGGCAAAGCTTCATCTGTTCTCATGCCGCTAAAAAATGCATTGTTGTGGCCAACTTGACTTTTTTGACCACATCCTGCAGACTCCAGAGTCTCTCCGGCACTTGAAATCAGAATAGAAATTCTGCCAGAGTTACGTTTTTCTTATGACCCCCAGCCCTTGATGGAATTTATATGCACATGACCACAGCCAAATGCGGGTTTCCTCAAGAATTTATAAAGTTGGTTCAGATTCTCTGAGGCCCCAGAATCCAAAGGGAAGGCGAATGGTGTTTTCCCCCTTACAAAAGCCCTAGACAGGACGCCCACTTTCCCTGTGACCCTTGTCCAGAACCCTTAGCTGATGCTAAGAGGCAAGATTATAACATCCAAGGATTTCTGCAGAATTGGTACTACATCTGATATTTCATTTATCTCTGAATAAAATACATAATTTCCTCCAGACACTGACAGGCGGGGGGTCATTAAACTTTATCTTCTGGGGTGGGATAAACACTCCTATTTTCAAAAGCTGAATACCCTTTGGGGGGGTGCGAGGGAGGTGCGGCAAGGCTTGGGAGGGATGTGCAGAGACACAGTGAGGGTTGGGGAGGGTGCCTGGGGGTATGTGAGTGGGGGGGAGGTACAGTGAGGCTTGGGGAGGGTGCGCAGGGGTGCAAGGGAGGGTCAGGGAGGGTGCAAGACTCAGGGAGGGTGTGCGAGTGGTGGGGGAGGCACAGGGAGGCTCGAGGAGGGGCTGAGGGAGGGTGTGCAGTGACTGGGAAGACTTACTCCAGTGATTGCAACCTTCTCTGCCAACTTCCCCATTTTCTGGGGAAGTCGGCAGGGAAGGTCGCAAATGGTGATCACGTGATCATGGGGCACTGCAACCGGTTGTAAGTGCAAGCCAGTTGCCAAGTGCACAAATCACAATCATGTGACCACAGGGATGCTGGGATGGCCAGAACTCCAAGGACCAGTCGTAACCACCATTCGTTCAGCGCTGTCGTAACTTCGAACGGTTGCTGTTCGAGGTCTACCTGTACTAAATTGACACTATGGGTAACCCAGATCTCAAAACTGATAAAGAACAGTTTTATGGAAGATCTGGATGGATGGCGAGTTTTTATCATTTTCTGTGTTAAGACCAATCTCATTAGTCAGCTGCCGCCCAGTGGCCATAATGTACAATTACAGCATTTATTGATATCTTGATCTGGACCAGCAGCATTCTGAACCTCAGAGACACCTATGTTGTGATCCATCACGTTTATGGTGAGCTCTTCTTCTGGCTGGAAGAGAAGGCCTACAAGATTCTCCTCCACCCAGTTGCTACAAAGGACAGAATTACTCTGCTGTCTGCATCAAATAATACAGGGATAGGACAATTAACCAGCTCTGGAGGGTGAATTTATACTTGTATAAATAAGGGAAAAAAGGCTATGATCAAATGGTGGATGCTTTCAATTTCTCCCACAATCTATCTATGGATATAGAATAAAGCGCCAACCTCAAACCAAGACAGACAACAAACAGCACCCCTTCAGTTCCAACAATACATTTTTCAGACCAACGTTGGAGGATAAAGCACTGACCTACAATGGGGGAAGCTATTTGTTCCTCATCCTCACAATCTGCCTGTTCCACAACTTCTGGCACAAGCGCATTAATGTTAATGATGCTTAGAGGATATGTGTGGAACAAGAGAAAGTCAAGGAAATGGTAAGTCTACTGCTAGGAGAAGATAAGGAGACGGTGACAGGTAACACGGAGAAGGATGAACTGCTGAAGTCCTATTTGCAAAAGGAAAAATTTGCTCCTACCTGCCAGAAACTGCATCATGGGGGTGGGGGGTAGGAGAGACATGCAGATCGAAATAGGCAAGGAAGGATACTAAAGGGACTGATCTCGGAAGCACTGACCGTAATCTCTGAGAACTCCCAGACTACGGGGAAAGGGCAGAGGATTGGAGAAGCGCTCACGTTGCTTCTGTATTCAAAGGCAAAACAATGAACCCAGGAAGTTACAGTCCCTAGGAAGATCCTAGAAAAGATCATCAGGTAGTGGGTTTGCAACCACCTACAAGGTGAGCGAGGGGTTTCTAGAAGCTAGCGTGGGGTTATTAAAAACAGATCATGCCAGACAAATCTTACTGCTTTTTTGACACAGCGACTAGATTAACAAACCAAAGGAACGTTGTGGATGTGACGTACTTAGGCTTCAGTAAGGCGTCGATAAAATTGACCATGGCCTCTCTTTGATCAAGTGGAACCATGTGGGATGGATGGTCCCACTTCCAGATGGGTTCCTAGTTGGTTGAGCAATCACACCCAACACGTGGCCCTTAATGGATCTCTGCCTACACAGGGCGGGTGTGGGGGGCGCACCTGCAGTATCTTGGAGTTCTGTTCCGGCCCAGTTCTCTTCGGCATTTTCATAAATGACTTGAACAAGGAGAGAGAAGGGATGCTCACCAAATTTCAGATGGCAGAAAGCTGGAGGGGAAAAAATGGATGCAGAGGTACAAGATGGGTGGTGTGTGGCTCACTAGCAGCACTTAGGAGAAGGATCTGAAGGCCACGGATTAAGGGTGAACTAAGAGCCACCAGAGTCTTGGGCTGTGTTACAGAGGCATAATGCCAAGGTCACGAGAAGGGATAGTTCTGCACCGGCCAGGCTGCACCTGGAATACCGTGTCCACCTTTAGTCGTAGTAATGCCGAGGAACTGGAAAGAGTGCAGAGCAGCGATGAAGATGGCGAGGGGCTTGGAGGATAAATCCCATAAAGAATGGTTAAAGGAGCTGGGTACGTTTAGCTTAAGGAAGAGTGACATGATCGCAGCCTTCCAATACTTGAAGGGCTGTTACAGGGAAGAGGGGGTGGATTTATTCTCCACAGCTCTTGAGGGTAGGAGGAGAACCAGCAGGTAGAAGCTTTATAGAGCGAGATCCAAATTCAGAATAAGGAGGAATTTCCTGATGTGAGAGCAATGAAGCAGTGGAACAGCCTCTCTCCTGCAGTCACGGGGGCTCCATCGCTGGAGCTTTTCAAACAAAGGCCAGACAGCCATTTGTCTGAGAGGATGTGAGAATTCCTGCCCTGGGCAGGGGTGGGACTATAAAATCTCCACGGTCCCTTCCAACCTGAGGATTCTGTGAGGTTGAGCCTTTTGTGCTTGACCCCCATAATCTTAGGGAATTTGAGCAAACAAATCATGTAAAAAGGGCAGCCGGCATTGGGGCACCTCCTTAAATAGCGCTCTGGACAGCCACCCAAATCCCCAAACTGGGTTCGTGATTCTTTCAGTTTCATCAGCCAGACAAGCAGCAGATCTTGCCCTTGAAGCTGTTAAGAAAATATCCATCCCTAAGATGGTTTTTGGATGCTAGTTTACAAAGAATTGACTTTTCAGTGAAAAACCATCGAGGGCCCCACTGCCTCTTCCTTCACATGTCACTGCAACAGGAACTTCAGCCAAGACCAGAAAGAGATGCTCAATCGGCATTAAGACTGTCTTGAACAATTTCCTTTATATTTACATTTCGTTGATGAAGCGTGTCACTGTGTACAGGCTCATGCATCTTGTTAAATTTATGACCAATGGACTAAATGTATAGGCAAATAAGAGAATTATTAAAACACACATTGCTTCAGTATTCCTTTTATCTCCTTTTCAAAAAGAAACAGGCAATAAACATTCCTCATAAAAGAATTTGGGGTCATGAAAAAGAACACTTGTTCTCATGCAACTTCCTTCTCCGGACAACTTTGGCAAACCTCCCTGCATCTACCAAATGCCTGCTGTGATGTCCTAAGGTATTTCACACGCACATCGTAGAGTCGCAGCTTTCATCTCGGGAAAAAAAAACACAAAGGAAGCCAGCGTACAGCCTTTGTGGCTGGAATAAAGCATCCTGAGAAATTTCAGCAATGTTGGTAGAATATGTAACACCAGGAAAAAGCTCCTGATTTCAGCGCTCAGCTACTTTTTGCTTAATTTTGCCCAACCAAACCACTCCCTTGGTGCCCCTCATGAATGTTGGTTTCCATGGGAGAGGATCAATGGGATTTGCATCCACAGCTTCTCTCACCTGCCGCCATTTCCTCCACGAACGCTGCAGGAGCTTCTCAAAATGGAACTGCCATGCTTCTGCCTCCTTCACCCGCCTGAAAGAAGCACAGGGGTACCTGAGCTCGGATGCCAGCAGGCCCTTGGCCAGAGATACAGGCACGTCATCAGTGAAGGAACCCAAATTTCAGCCTGGGGAAGAGGCTTCTTAAGCCCAGCAAAAGCTAAGCTCCACTCAGTGAATGATTCATCCATGGAAATTTAGTACTTTGCTCCCAGTTTTCCATGACGCTCTGGTGGAAGCCTTGAGACCATAAAGAGGGGATTGGGGCCTCTCATAGGCTGTTCATCCCTATCCCTAGAACACAGCAAAGTGGAGCGTGATGATTTAATCTCACCTAGACCAACAGCAGTGTTGCCACCATCCCTATTCTTGGCCCACTTTCATTATGCTACCAATAAAGAGCAGCAACACCTACATTAAAGAGAATCACTATCCCACTCAAGCAGTGACCACGTCAGATCTGTCCTGTTTGGCTACAATGAGCCAAACATCAGGGGGCTCCAGGAGGAGGCCAGCCTGAGGGACACTGGCCGGGAGCTCCCTTCACCAAGTCTTGAGCAACAGTGGAACCCAAATCACTTCTGGGGTGAGGAGCTCAAGACAGGGGAGTCTGCCATCCTGGCTCCTTTGCACACACCATTTCCTTGCTTTCAAAGTCAAGTCCATCTATTCCCAAGAATGTCTGTGGGCTCCAAAAGGGCCCTGCAAACTTTCCCAGAAACTAAAAATGAGGTGCCAGGGAGAAGCGAGGCCCCTAGCAAGGCCATCTCAGGGCACAGCTATCAGATCAGGGCCACTGAGAGACAAAGAAAATCAGCCCGCAGCACCAGGGGAGCTGGCCTGCTGTTGGGACTCTGTTTGTGTCTTACCCTCTTTTAATTTCCCAGACATTCTCCCTCCAGAGGTGGAAAGCGGCCTGAAGGACCCAATGCCTGTGATGTACCCTGGCCAAGGAGGTATGCTCTCGCTTTTCCAGCCAGGCCACGGTTGCCCCGTGCCACCGGCCCCAGAACTGGGACAAAAGCCGCCGTTCAGCATGCAACGTTGCCTGCAAAGAGAGAGGGTGGTGGTCGGCACCTGCGGCCGGGCTGCCCCAGGAGCGGTTTCTTCAGCAGCTTCTTGGCCTTAGGTGGCCAAAAGCTGGAAGCAGTGGGGGGGGGGCGGGTGGTGT